TTCGTCTTCATGGTGTTCCTGTATCAATTATTTCGGACCGAGGTACACAGTTTACCTCACATTTCTGTAGAGAAGTTCAGCGAGAGTTGGGCACCCAGGTTGAGTTAAGTACAACATTTCATCCTCAGGCGGATGGGCAGTCCGAGCGGACTATTCATATTTTGGAGGATATGCTTCGAGGTTGTGTCATTAACTTTGGAGGCTCGTGGGATCAGTTTTTGACTTTAGCAGAGTTTTCCTACAACAACAGTTACCAGTCGAGTATCTAGATGGCTCCTTATGAGGCTTTATATGGTAGGCGGTGTCGATCTCCAGTTGGATGGTTTGAGCCGGGTGAGGCTTGATTGTTGGGTACGGATCTAGTTCAAGAGGCTTTGGACAAGGTCAGGATTATTCAGGACAGCCTTCATACAGCTCAGTTCAAGCAAAAGAGTTATGCAGACCATAAGGTTCGAGATTTGGCATTCATGGTAGGTGAGCGGGTATTGCTTTGAGTGTCACCTATGAAGGGCGTGATGAGATTTGGGAAGAAGGGCAAGCTTAGCCCTAGGTTCATTGGCCCGTTTGAGATTCTTGATCGAGTGGGAGAGGTGGCTTATAGACTTGAACTACCGCCGATCTTATCAGCCGTGCATCCAGTATTTCATGTGTCCATGCTCCGAAAATATCACAGCGATCCATCCCACGTGTTAGATTTCCGCACTGTCCAGTTGGACAAGGACTTATCTTATGAGGAGGAGCCGGTAGCTATTCTAGACCAGCAGGTTCGTCAGTTGAGGTCGAAGAGTTTTCCTTCTGTTCGTTTTCAGTGGAGAGGTCAGCCTTCTGAGGCATCAACCTGTGAGTCTGAGTCCAATATGTGGAGCCATTATCCCCATCTTTTCCCCGACTCAGGTAGTTCCTTCTTCTGTCCGTTCGAGGATGAACGGTTGTTTTAGAGGTGGAGAATGTGATGACCTTTTAGGTCATCACTTGTTTTAAAATGAACTTTCCGTGTTCTGAGGCCTTGAAAACCTCATTTAAAGCCACCTCAATTTGCGTGCGCAGTACGGGCACGTAGTCGGAAAGCTTAAATATGATAATCTGTGAAAAACAATAAGTTTTGATTATAAAATGAGATAATTTGACTCCGATCAATGTTTTGGGTAAACGGACCTGGACCCATGATTTGATGGTCCCAGAGAGTACGTAGGAAAATATGGGACTTGGGCGTATGCCCGGAATTGAATTCCGAGGTCCCAAGCCTGAGAAATGAATTTTTAAAGGAAATTATTTTCTGGAATTGTTTAAAGAAATTTGAAATGGAATTTGATTAGAACGTGATGGTATCGGGCCCGTATTTTGGTTCCGGCACCCGGTACAAGTCTTATATATGATTTAAGATATTTCTATGGAATTTGGTGAAAAACGGATGTCATATGATGTGATTCGGACTTAAATTGCAAAATTTATGTTAAAGAAGTTTTGGAGAAAATTTCATTGATCTCGAGACTTAATTTGATGTTCATGATGTTATTTTGATGATTTGATTACACGAGTAGGTCCATATGATATTTTTGAGTTAGTATGACATTTGGTTTGGAGCCCCGAGGGCTCGGGTGAGTTTCGGGATATTTTTACACTTTGGAAAAAGTTGCTGATTCAGAAAAGTTGCAGGTCTCTGAAGCCAGGTCTCGCGGTCCGCGGTGGGGACTTCGCGACCGCGGTGGGATTTGTGTGGTCCGTGGTGAGCAAGGCCAAGCCTTCGCGGCTGCGCTCGATTTCTTGTGGTCCGCGGTGGAGCTCCGCGGTCACAGTCTTTTTTATGCGGTCCGTGGAGAGGTTCTGAGAGGAGTATAAATAGACGATATTTTCAGCTATTTTCCACTTTTCAAAAACCCCAAAAACATAAGAGGCGATTTTTCAAACAGCCTTTCTTCTCCAAATCAATTGTAAGTCATTTTTAACTATTTTTCTTCAATCATTAACATCTTTTAATATGATTTCAACTTCAAATCAAATATTTTTATGGGGGAAATTGGGTGTTTTGGGTAGAACCTAGGTTTTTTCAAAAATTGGGGATTTGAACCTCAATTTGAGGTCCGATTTCAAAAGAAATTACATATTTGAGCTTGTGGGGGAATGGGTAATCGGGTTTTGTTCGAACCTCGGGTTTTGACCACGTGGGCCCGGGGGCGATTTTGACTTTTGGGTAAAACTTTAGAAAACTCATTTTCATGCATTCAAATTGATTCATTTAGCATTTATTGACGTAATTAAGTAACCTATGACTAGATACGAGCGAATTGGCGGTAGAATCGAGGGGTAAAGCTATTATTGAAACTTGAGTTGTGTTCGAGGCATCGAGGTAAGTGTTTGGTCTAACCTTAGCTTGAGGGATTATGAGTTGTGTCCTATTTGCTATTTGCTTCTTATCGAGTACGACGTATAAGCATGGTGACGATTATCTATACGTTGGTAACAAGCATGACCGTGAGTCTTATATTGTGATTTTCATGATTTTGTTGTATTATTCATGTCTTGGTGAAGATTTCTAATAATTTGTATAAGCGTAATTGTTGGTGACCTATGAACATTGAGGAACGTTGGCTCAAGTTGTATAAGCAAAATTGTGAAAGTATAAGTGACAATTGAACTTTTAGAGCATTGGCTCGAGCTGTGGAATGAGTTGTGAAAGTATAAGTGATAATCGAACCTCTAGAGCATTGACTCGAGTTGTGAAGTGAATTGTTAAGTAAAATTGAGAAAGATATGAGATCATTATGTTGTCACCCTTGCCGGGCTATTGTTGATTTATTTGTTGTTCCCTGTCCGGGATTTAATTGTTTAATTGCTGTTCCCTTGCCATGATTTAATTGTTTAACTGTTGTTCCCTTGCCGGGATCTCTATTACTATTTTGTTTATTCCATTGCCCCTTTGCTTGTGATTGTTGTTTGGGTGAGGAAGAGTGTTAAAGCACGAAGGGTGATGCTGTGCATTGTTTGTTATTGTGAGGAAAGAGTATAAAGCACGAAGGGTGATGCCGTGCCGCACGACGTACCACTCCGTGCCGAATCTATTGATCATATAGTGAGTAAAGAGAGTAAAAGCACGAAGGGTGATGCCGTGCATATTATGATTATATAATTGTTTTGGTGAGGATGAGAGTAAAAGCACGAAGGGTGATGCTGTGCACATCCTTACTGGATACCACTAGATACGAGCGAATTGGCGGTAGAATCGAGGGGTAAAACTATTATTAAAACTTGAGTTGTGTACGAGGCATCGAGGTAAGTGATTAGGAGTTGTGTCCTATTTGCTATTTGCTTCTTGTCGAGTACGACGTATAGGCATGGTGACGAGTATCTATACGTTGGTGTCAAGCATGACCGTGAGTCTTATATTATGATTTTCATGATTTTGTTGTATTATTCATGCCTTGGTGAAGATTTCTAACAATTTGTATAAGCGAAATTGTTGGTGACCTATGAACATTGAGGAACGTTGGCTCAAGTTGTATAAGCGAAATTGTGAAAGTATAAGTGACAATTGAACTTTTAAAGCATTGGCTCGAGCTGTGAAATGAGTTGTGAAAGTATAAGTGATAATTGAACCTCTAGAGCATTGGCTCGAGTTGTGAAGTGAATTGTTAAGTAAAATTGAGAAAGATATGAGATCATTATGTTGTCACCCTTGACGGGCTATTGTTGATTTATTTGTTGTTCCCTTGCCGGGATTTAATTGTTTAATTGTTGTTCCTTTGCCGGGATTTAATTGTTTAACTATTGTTCCCTTGCCGGGATCTCTATTACTATTTTGTTTATTCCCTTGCCCCTTTGCTTGTGATTGTTGTTTGGGTGAGGAAGAGTGTTAAAGCACGAAGGGTGATGCTGTGCATTGTTTGTTATTGTGAGGAAAGAGTATAAAGCACGAAGGGTGATGCCGTGCCGCACGACATACCACTCCGTGCTGAATCTATTGATCATATAGTGAGGAAAGAGAGTAAAAGCACGAAGGGTGATGCTGTGCACATTTTTATTATATAACTGCTTTGGTGAGGCTGAGAGTAAAAGCACGAAGGGTGATGCCGTGCAATTGTTGATTTCTGCTTCCTTGTTGATATTCTAGTTATGTTGTTTCTTTCCTTACTTGATGCCTTTCTATTCAGAACTAATGTCTCCCCCACAACATATTTCCCCCTCCCACATTGACTGGTTATTTATGTATTTTTTTTCGCTGTATATATATATATATATGGACTGCACAGGTTTATTTGGTAGTCTAATCCTAGCCTCGTCACTACTTCGCCGAGGTTAGGCTAGACACTTACCAGCACATAGGGTCGGTTGTGCTGATACTACACTTTGCACTGTGTGCAGATCCAGGAGCAGCTTTCGGACAGTAGTTGGAGTGCTTCCTTCAGTCCACCCGGAGACCCAAGGTAGACCTGCAGGCGTCCGCAGGCCCTGGCGTCTCCCTCTATCTCTGTTTCCTGTTTCATTTCCTTTTGTTCAGAAACAGTGTATTGTATTTCTTAAGATCTTGTATGTAGTAACTCTTAGACTGTCTGTGACACTGTGACACCAGGTTTTGGGGTATTTGAGGTTTTAAAAAGTTGTAATAGACATAGCCTTAGGATATATAATTGTTGACTTCCGCTTATTTATTTAAAATTCTGCTTTTATCATATTATCGACTTGTGTTTGTTAAAAGGAAGAAAAAATGAAAGTGTAGCAATTAGTTAAGGTTTGGCTTTCCTAGCTCCCATTAGTAGGCGCCATCACGACTCCCGAGGGTGGGAAATCCGGGTCGTGACAGAGAAGCCCTTCACAAACCTCCTGTAGTATTCTTCTAAACCCAAGAAATTTCTTATCTCAGTTGGAGTTTAGGGAGTTTCAAATCAACAATTGCTTGAATCTTACTAGGATCATCCTTCACACCTTTAGTTGATACAATATGCCCCAAAAAAGTCACTTCACTCAGCCAAAATGCACATTTGGAAAGCTTCGTGTAGAGTTACCTCTCTTTTAGAATTTGCATGACAATTCGGATATGCTTATCATGATCTTCTCTATCCTTGAAATAGACTAAAATTTCATCAATAAACACCACCATAAATTGTTCAAGATAAGGCTTGAATATACGGTTCATTAGATCCATAAATGCAGCAAGAGCATTTGTCAAACCAAATGGCATTACCAAAAATTCTTAATGGCCATACCTGGTCCTAAAAGCAGTTTTAATCTTGCTCCCTCACGCGCAATTGGTAATATCCAGACCTCAAGTCAATTTTTGAGAATAAGTTGGCACACTTTAATTGGTCAAACAAGTCATCCATTCTAGGTAGTGGGTATTTGTTCTTGATTGTTACATTGTTCAACTGTCGATAATCAATGCAAAGCATAAGAGTGCCATCTTTCTTTTTCATAAATAAAACAGGAGCTCTCCAAGGCAAAATACTAGGATGGATAAAACCTTTCTCAAGAAGTTCTTGCAATTGAGCCTTCAACTTTTTTAATTCAGGTAGAACCATTCCATAAGGAGCGATAGAAATAGGAGTAGTTCCAGGGACAAGATCTATAGGAAATTCAATCTCCCTTTCTGGAGGCAACCCAGGAAGATCATCAGGAAATACATCAAAAAAGTCGCACACGGTTGGTATGTCCTTAAGACTTGGACTCCCTAATCATGTATCGACTATATAAGAAATATAGGCATCACAACCTTGACAAATCATCTTCCTTGCCAAGACCGCAGAAATAATATTAGATGTCAATGATCTTTCTCCTTGAACTACATGTGTGGATATGCAGGAGTTCTAAAAGTCACTTGCTTCAACATATAATCAACCAATGCATGGTGCCTATGGAGCCAATCCATACCAACAATAACATCATAGTCTTGGATAGGCATTTCAAGCAAGTCGGCAGGGAAGACCAGATTTTGAATCATGAAGGGACAATCTCGGTAAATCCTATTAACAACAGTTTGATGACCTATTGCTCTTGGATTACTACCCACTTCATTTTTACTAACACGAGGATGATTTAGGTCAGGAAAGGGTTCCTCATCTCCTCCCTGAAGGTGAGGTGGAGCATTATAATGGGCTTGACTTTCATAAACGGATTCACTAGCTCTATTCGAAGGAGAGGCCATATTAAAATTCCTTTAAAAGATAAGATCACACTGTATTAGGGACATGTACATGATG